AGTACCATGAAAATTTTCTTAGAAATAACACATTAAAAATACCACATTAAAAATATCACATGAGACCACTTCATATGAATTAAAAAGATTAAATTAGATTCACTTGTAATAATCAACTCTATTAAATGTGAGATTGATTTAAATGAATCTCAATTATGAAGAAGATGGTTTCTAACTTTAGTGCTATAATCTATATTAAAGAAAAGTTGAAAGCAATGGAAAGTAGGCTATTGACTTGTCCACATATGAAGATATACCTACCTTGAGTAGAAATAATTAAAATGAAAAAATTGAAATCTAGAAAAGTTAAGTGAATTGTGAAAATTCATATGAGTAATTATTGTGAGAGCTGAGACTACAACTGCTTACCTTAAACCAGACTATGCTGCTGTAAGGCCAGACTAGCTTCTTCCTGCAATTCCAGAGACTGGGTTGGTTTGTGGTCATTGATGGTAATCTGGGGATGTTGGTTTAGACTAGACAGCATTGGTAGAAAGAAGAAATTAGGTGAACATTTAGTGCAATTAAAAGTTACCTTTGAAAATCTGGGTCCAGGTCATTGCTACTTTAAAGGATTTAGGGAGAATAAGTTAATTTCAGTTCTGAGTGATGTTGATGTTAGACACTTGCAGCTATTTCTTTCATTCTGAGAGTATTGGATTTATGGAACCAACCCAGAACTAGTCCTGTGCCTATACGGGATTAGACCAGACTCCTGGGGGCAACATCAAGCTAGATGGGATTCCCTGTTCTAAATTATTTTTTTTGGAAGTTTTCCTGTTCTCAAATATAGCAGGTCTTTTGTCTGTGGGCAGTGGTAATGTATGAAAGTCTAATTTGTTCCCGATTGGTGTTTACTCAGAACAAAATGGCATTTTCATTTCATTTATTTCCACTTACAGGGAGCAAGGAGAGCATTTAACAAGTGAACTGAAACTGTAGAGTTTGGGAAAATTGTCTGGAGAAAGGCATTTGACCTGAGGCCTAACAGAGGAGTAGAATTAATTAGGTGGAAGTAGGAAAGAGCAAGTGTAAATGCCCCGAGAGCTAGAAAGACTGGGGAGCACAATAGTTGATGATGAACGGATGCTAGGTTCCTGATCAGGTGAGACTTTGCAGTCCATATTAAGGGTTCTTTTATAAATCAACTTTATTGCGGTATAGTTAGCACACAATAAAATGTACCCATTTTAATTGTACATTTTGATGAGTTTTGGTAAATTTATACACCTGAATAAGAACCACCAAAATTAAGATATACAATATTCCCATCACTTTTGAAGGTTGCCTATCCCAGCCAACCTTCCCCATTCTCAACCCCAGGCAACAACCGGTCTGCTTTCTGTCATTATATTAATTAGGTTTGTTTTTCTAGAGTATCATATACAGCAACCGGAATCCTACACTTCTTTTGTTTAAAGGCTTCTTTCATGTAACAATGTCTTTGAGGGTCATCCATGTTGTATGTCAGTTGTTTATTCTTTTTATTGTTGGATGTTATTACTTTGTATGGACATGCTATAATTTGTTCATTCATCTGTTGAAAATCTGAGTTTTTTTCACTTTTCAGCTAGTATGATTAAAGCTGCTGTGTATGTGTCTTTGTGTGCACATAAGTTTTCATTTCTTTTGAGTAGATACCTAGAAATGGAATTGCTGTGTGGTATGATAAGTAGAAACTGCCAAGCAGTTTTGTTCTTCTTTTTCAAGATTGCTTTGGCTGTTGAGTTCCATATGCATTTTAGGATTGCCTTTACTATTTCTGTGAAAAATGCAATTGAGATTTTGATAGGGATTGCATTAATTCTTCTGTAAATGTTTGGTGGAATTCAGCAGTGAAGCCATCAGGTCCTGGCCTTTGTTAGAAGACTTTATTACTAATTCAGTCTCCTTATTCTTTATTGTTCTGTTCAGATTTTCTGTTTCTTCATGATTCAGTCTTAGTAGCTTGTTTGTAGGAATTTATCCTTGTCTTCCAGGTTAATAATTTTTTGGCATGTAATTGTTCATAATAGTCTCTTATGATCCATTGTATTTCTGTGGTATCAGTCGTAATGTCTCCTCTTTCATTTATGATTTTATTTGAGTACTTTCTCTTTTTTTCTTGGGTAGTCTAGCTAACAGTTTGTCAATTTTATCTTTTCAGAAAACCAACTCTTAGGTTTTTTTTATCTTTTCTGTTGTTTTTATATTCTCTATTTCATTTATTTCTATTCTAGTCTGTATTATTTTTTCCTTCTTGCTAACTTTGGGTTTAGTTTTTGTTTTTGTCTTTTTTTTCCTAGTTCCTTGAGATGTAAAGTTAGGTTGCTTGGAACTTTCCTTTTCCTTAATGTAGGCATTTATCACTATAAACTGTCCTCTTAGAACTGCTTTTCTGCATCCCATACGTTTCGTTGTGTTGTGTTTCTGTTTTATTTTGTTTCAGATATTTTTTGATTTCCTTTTTGACCCATTGATTGCTCAGGAGTATGTTCTTTAGTTTATGTGTACTCTAAATTTTTCCAGTTTTCCTCCTGTATTGATTTTTAGTTTTATAGTATTGTGGTCAGAAAAGATACTTGATATGATTTTAATCTTCTTGAAATTGTTAAGACTATTTTGTGTCTTAATATATGATTTATTCTAAAGAATTTCTGTGTGTGTTTGTGTGAGAAGAATGTGCATTTTGCTTTTGTTGGACAGAATGGTCTTTATATGTCTGTTAGGTCCATTTGGTCTGTAGTGTTGTTCAAATCTGCTATTTCTTTGCTGATTTTCTATCTGCATGATCTATCAACTCTTGAGAGTGTGGTACTAAAGTGCCCTCTGTTATTGTATTGCCATTTATTTCTTATTTCAGTTCTCTTAATATTTGGTTTATATATCTAGGTGATCTCATGTTAGGTGCATAAATATTTACAGTTATATATCTTGTTGATGAATTGATCTTTTTGTCATTATGTAATGATCTTCTTTGTCTCTTATGAACAGTTTTTGACTTAAAGTCTAGTTTGTCTGATTCAAATATAGCCACCCTGTTCAACTTAGCGTTTGCATAGAATTATCTTTTTCTATCTCTTCTCCTTCCCCCATGTGTGTCCTTAGAGCTAAAATGAGTCTGTTGTCGGTAGTATACTGTTGGATCTTATTTTTGTGTTCATTCAGTCACTCTGTATCTTTTTATTGGTTAGTTTAATCTGTTTGTGTTTAAAGTAATTATTGGTAGATAAGGACTTATTGTCATTTTATTAATTTTTTTCTCACTGTTTTGCAGTTCCTTTGTTCCTTTCTTTCTCTTTTGCTGTCTTTTATAATTTGATGACTTTTTGTGGTGGTATGCTTCAATTCCTTTCTATTCATCTTTTTTTAAAAAAATATTTCTGCAACATAAAGGGATCTATGAATCTTTTGTATATCTACTACAGGTGTTTGCTTTGCACTTACCATGAGGCTTACATAAAACAT